CGGGAGGCCTGAGTCTTGTGTCTGTCCCACCAGGTGGATGGTGACTGCGGGGCCACCGGGAAGATGCAGCAGGCCTGCCCAGGAAAGAGCCACACCTGCTGGGCCTTCTCCAGGACCCCTGCTCCAGCTTGGGGAACTGCTTTTGTGTGGTGAGTGTGCGCCTGGCCCCGGGGCTCAGGAAGCCCTTTCCCCTATCTAGCCTAGGACCCTCCTTCTTGCCACTCCCCAGGGTAGGGACAGTGACTAGGTAGCCCTGATTTCAGGTGGACCCTGCACCATTCCTCAGCCTGTGTGTGCAGGAGCCCTGTGGCACCCAGGAGCTCCAGCCTGCCTGCACTCTGGCAGATGCCTACATCCACATGTGCCCGCAGCTTCATGCCCCTGGCCCCACCTCCACAGTGTGGTAAGCTGCCCTAGGCAGCTGGCACTCTGCCCCCTGGTCTGGCATCTGCCTTCCAGCCGGAGGCTCTTGCTCTTGTCAGGGAGGACAAATAATTGTCATTCAAGGAGCTAAGAGTCAAAACATTTACAGCCTGACACAGCTTGGATGTGTTTCCCCTCCAAATCTCACATTTGTTAGAGGGGGTACATCCCTCATGGATGGCTTAGCACCCTCCATTTGGTGAAGTGTGAGTTCTTGCTCTATTAGTTCACGTGAGAGAAGTTTGTTTATAAAGAGCCTGGCACCTCCTCCCATTTCTGCCTTGATTGTAAGCTTCCTGAGGCCTCACCAGAAGCCACGCAGATGCTGGAGCTGTGCTTGTACAGCCTGTAGAACTGTGAGTCAATTATATATCTTATTTATGAACTTCCCAAGCTGGAGTGTAGTGGCACAATTTCGCCTCACTGTAACTTCCACCTCCCAGGTCAAGCAATACTCCTGCCTCAGCCTCCCAAACATACAGGAGGTAGTTTTGTAGAGATGGTGTTTTGCCATGTTGGCCAGGCTGGTCTTGAATTCCTGACCTCTGGTGATCTGCCTGCCTCAGCCTCCCAAAGTGCTGGGATGACAGGTGTGCGCCACCGTGCCCAGCCTCACTAGGAATTTCTATGTCCACCACCGTTTAGGGAAAATGCTTAGCCCCTGTTTTCCCTCTGCCCTGATACTGCAAAAATCAACAGAGAAGACTTCTGTGAGCAAATGTGTGGGGGTTTGTCCCCACTACCCAGGTGGACCCCAATTCAGTTTTAACACTAGCTACACCATGAGATTCTTCAGCCAGTGCTGTGTATGATTGCCACAGCCAAAGCCCCACTAAAAGGGCAACAAGAGGAGTGGACTTCCAAGAGCTTCAGATTCCAGAATTAGTGGCTGCCAGTCACAGACATTTAAAACTTAACGAATTCAACAGCAGAAGAGAAAAGTAATCAATTGGAAAATATGACAAAGGGAAGATGAAATGAGAGGGTCTAACATGTCTCAAAGAAATTCCAGGCCAGGTGTGGTAGATCATCCCTGTAATCCCAGCACTTTGGGAGGCCAAGATGAGAGGATCACCTAAGGTCAGGAGTTCAAGACCAGCCTGACCAACATGGTGAAACCTCATCTCTACTAAAAATACAGAAATTAGCCTGGTGTGTATGTGTGTGCCTGTAATCCCAGCTTCTTGGGAGGCTGAGGCAGGAGAAATGGTTTAATCCAGGAGGTGGAAGCTGCACTGAGCTGAGATCTCACCATTGCACTCTAGCCTGGTGACAGAGTGGGAGTCTGTCTATCTCAAAAAAAAAAAAAATTCCAAATGTAAACAGAGACAGGACCCCTTAGAGTCAGGAGGCACAATCCCCAATACAATAAATCCATGCATGCCTAGACCTATCAAAACAAAATTGCGGAAAAGACAAAAGGTCCTAAAAGCTACTGAGGGTGGAAAGGAGGAAGAGCATGTTGACAATTGCTTTCCCACCAGCAGCAACAGAAGACAGTGGAGTAAGAGAAAGTAAGCACGAGGTTAGAGTTTATAACCAGCTCAACTATTACTTAATGAAATAACCTCTCGGCACTGGTCTGTCTAGACATCTCTTTACCACAAGTGGACACTTACTCAAGGGACCCATCCACATGTTCATTTACATACTGTCTGTGTCTGCTTTCCTGCTACAGGGGCAGAGTATCTGCAAGGGAGACCACATTTTTGTCCTCTGAAAGACTCTGTTAGGAAGATGGAAAGATAAGCCACAAATTGGGAAAAACATTTACTAACCACCTATCAGATCAAGGACTCAACTCCAGAGACTCATCTCTAGAACAAATACAGAACTCAAAGCTCAAAAGTAGGCCAGGTGCAGTGGCTCACGCTTGTATTCCTAGCATTTTGGGAGGCTGAGGCTAGATGGCTTGAATCCGGGGAGTCAAGGCTGCAGTGAGCCATGACTACACTCCTGGCTGGCTGCATGACAGAGTGAGACCTTGTCTTTCAAAACTAAACCTCCAAAGTAAAAAATGGGAAATAAATGCATGAACAATGTTTGCACTCCCAGTCATACAGCAACAAGGTAGTGCTACACACCTGAGCTCCAGTGAGTTCCGGCACAGGTTGGTGAGTTGCAGGGACTCCACAGCATAAAACATTAGTTGAACATCCAAATGGCCAGGTTGTGATTTCAGCATCCACTGATGAGCGCACTATTAAAAGCACTGTTCTAGTGCCAAAAAGGTGGTGGCTGCTGAGAATAAAGCTAGGCTTAGAGGCAGGAATCAAGGTTATGGTCAACCAACCAGATCCTCTCGGGAAGCAGAGGATAGGGTGTTCCTTCAGCCAGATGTGCAACCTACCTAAGCCTTCCCTCTGCCAAACACTCCACTGTGTCTCTTGTTCACCCTGCCAGGCATTCCACCTTCTCTGGTGTTTCTCCTGCCACACATTTAGTCATTTGCAGGCATTTCAATCGGCCTTGCAGTCGTCCCAGCCCCTCCTCCAACACACCCCGCCATCCACTCAGATGTTCCCTCCACCCACCAGGCCATCTACAGAGGCACTCCTGCTATCCACACTGTGTCCTTAGGTCTTCCTTCTGCCTGACGGGCATTTCTTCTGCCACACGTTCCATCTTGTCGGACGTCCTTCTGCCAAACGTGCAATCCCGCCAGACATTTGTCACTCTAGGTAGCTGGTCTGACAACAGCTGGGTACGATGAAGGGTCCGCCCAACCAGCACCACCACCATGAATGTCAGATGACCATCATGGGGTGACGGTCAGGCAGCATTTGTTGAACACTACCTATGGGGGAAAAAATGCTTGCAGCCAGCCAGCACCAAGGAATGGTCGTCCCCTGATAGAAGCACCAGAAGGAGGATGTCAGAAGCTTCTCAGTAAGATTCCAGTAGCCAGGCCCATGGACTCATGAAGGTCCCCTAAGGAGCCAAGGTGGCAGGCTTGAGCAGCTCCATCACCTTCTTCTGAGCACACTCAATGGGTAAGGGAAGAATGCCTTCAGTGAGTATGCCTCAAGTGCAACTCCAGCAACCATACCGTGCAGGTGTGATGCCCCCACCCACAGGTTGACAGGCCGTGGCGCCAGTGGACAGCCTCACCCAAGGGAGGGACCAGGGGAGAAGCGACGACGTTACCCCGCCAGCCTGCCAACCTAGGGGATCCCCAAGGTCAAAGGTCAAACCCTGCACTCCATCCCTCAAGTCACCCGCTTCACCCTTTTCCAACTGTATTTTGCTTCCTTTCCCTTTCCCTCCAGCTCCAAAGTGTTTGAGCAGCTTTCCCTCCTGCTCTTCACCCTGGCTTCCTGTTACACCCCAGGGACAACTTCTCCGGGGGCTTTTGGGGCCATCTGTACAGTCGCCTGCATAGGGCCTCTGTTCTGTGGCCCTATGAGGACCCCATCAACTTGCTCCTTTCCAGTCAGTGCCCCTCTGCCAAGAGGGGTGATTCTTCCTTCTTCCTAGCCCAGGCAAGTTTTCACCCCCAGCCACGAGCACTCCACAGGTTACTACCTTACATCAGGAAGGCATTACGCATGGCCCTCTCGAGTCCGAGGGCATGCTCTTACAGCAAGCATGGGAAGGCCTTCCATGAGTATTCCTCTCTCCCTCCGGCTCTGACCTGTAGCCTCTGTTTCTCTAGCTGCTTCCACACCCTTCTCCAGATGCTTTCAGGTCTCCCAGGTCCCATTTGAAGGGAAGGATGTCCAGCCCCCTTGCGGCAGCCAGCTGAAACATGGGCTCCTCGTCTAGTGTGAGAACCTGCAAAGTGGGAGTCCAACAGTGGAGATCATCATTTTTGTGCTATAACGCTCTGAGCCAGAGTCACTCCAAGGTCATGGAGACAAGGACCAAGGCTGAACCAAGGCCACAGGTGCAAGAGACCCACAGCACAAAGGTGCAGGTTGGTCATCCCAGGCTAACACAGGACCCTTAGAACAGAGATGAAGGCTAGGTGAGGGCTACACAATAATGCTGCTTCATTGCAGGTCCCCGCCCCCCAGCCAAGCCCCATTCATGCCAGCACCTCCTCTCCTCCCCACTGGGTAGTTGCAACAAGATGGGTCTGGGGTCAGCAGGGACGCAGTAAGACCAGTACATCTCGGAGCCCAGAAGACGAAGAGGGATGACCTATTCAGGATCCCAGGAATCCTGACAGAGCCCAAGCACATTGGATATGGTTGCGTAAGTCACCAGAAAGGTTCTTGAAAGGGGACCTGGGAAAGAGTCGCCGTGTGGTTTCAAAGGCTGTGAGGTCTACTACACGCTTCCAGAATTGATGCTTTCCCGGAGTCCAGTTGGGACTATTTGCTCACACATCATCTCTGCCTGCCTGCCGCAACAGCAGCCTTGAGCAGACACGATGGAGACCGCGGGGCCTACGGGTGCCTCCCACCTGGCCCTTTACAGGAAAAGCTGGTCAATCCCTGCTTCACGCCATGACTGAAACACCCTGCTTCTCACCTCGCATCTTCAGTCTCTCCTGTTCAAACACTTCCCATGAATCCCTGCAGGAAACCTGACTGGCTTCCTATCCATGGCCAAAGGAATGTTAGGATTCAAATAAATAACAGTTGATCATTTTATTCAGCAGATTTACAGAATGCATGCAAATTAGTATTTAGATACATGGAATGCATATAAAGTATGTATAAGGTTATCATTTAAGACTGTTACCAGTTTTCAAAATTGCATCTTACGTTATCTTGTACTACTTTCTCATATCAGAAACTCTTGTTTGAACAACAAGAATAAAAACTTCAATTGCAATTCTGTCCCACTACTGCAATTTTAAACCTCTCTTCTTGCTCAGGAAGGGAAGGTAAACATGAAATTTTTAAGGATGGATGGTTCTTGAGATTTAGTAGAAAGTGTCTTCTACATAACAGGCATTCCGCTTATAGTTGATCAATAAATGGATTTATAAAAATGTATACATACCATTTTGATGTTCGTTATTTTAAAAGACTGCTACAAATAAATATTTTTGCAAAAATGTTAGTAAGCACTCATACTTGCTACTTTAATTTTCATAAAACTAAACAAATTATTAATCTATAATTGGCATATAGGAAATAAATCTATACATAATGCAAACATGTGTCTAATAAAATGTATACATAGGTCTGCTGCAGCGACTCATGCTTGTAATCCCAGGACATAGGGAGGCCCAGGCGGGTGAATTGATTGAGGTCAGGAGGTCAAGACCAGTCTGACCAGTATGGCAACATTACATCTCCACTAAAAATACAAAATTTTCAGCAGGTGTCCTAATGTATGCCTGTAAACCTGGCTACTTTGGAGGCTGAGCCATGGGAATCACTTGAACTCTGGACACAGGGGTGGCAGTGAGCCAAGAACACATGACTGCCTCCAGCCTGGATAAAACTGAGGCTTTGTCTCAAACAAAAAAAGGAAAAAAATACATAAATCAACACACACAGATGAAAAGGTTCTCTTCACTTCTGAAGATGCTAAAAGTTCACAGAATACACTCATCCACAAATTTATGACTTCCCTTGTATGGATTCTTCTTAATACAATGATATTTTAAGCGAAACTGAGAAAAACAGATTGCATGTATCTCTCATTGTTTCCTAAATATATTTTAGTATAATGGAATTAATTGGTAAAGGGCATAAACATTTTTTCAGTGTGGTACTTGCCACATTGTTGATTTAAAAAGTCATCAGCAACTTAAACTTTAAGCAGCAGTGTAAATATCACTGCTCAACATCCTTTAAAACTTTGTAGATAGGAAACAGTATTTCATTCTGCTTTAAATTCATTCTCTTACCAGAAACACTAATTTTTCATATGTGCATAAATCACTTCCAGATCTGAAAAAACTACTTTGCCCAATTTGAGTTCTTCTCATGTTGACTTGAAAGAATTCCCTGTAAAATGAAGATCCACTTCTGATATAATATACACACACACAGTAAGTATTTTACAACTATAATGTCTTTTGTCATGTACAGATTAAATTAAACCTTTGGAATGCTTGCTTAATGTTCTTAGGAAGGTCTTTGTTAACACAAAAATCTATCTGTATGAAGAGGCATTGTTTCCTTCTGTCAGTTTTTCTAAATTTGTATATTTAAATTATTTAATCTAAATTCCATGTGGAACTTGTTTTGTTGGCATAAAAATCTAGCTGGTTTTCTCCACAAAGCAGGCATTTCATCTATAAATGTAATTCATCTTTTCCGATTAGCATAAAGTCTCACCATTACCATGTTATAAATTCTTACATGTATTTGGGTGTTTCTGGAGTTTCTATTCTCTTGAATTCATTTACCTGTCTTTTCAGCTGTTAGCAAATTATCTTTGAAAATTAATAGCATATTTTCAGATCTAGAAAGGCTGGACTTTCTAACTCCATTACAATAATGTTCTTAATCCTATCACAATATTAAAAGACAGCATGTGTATTTCAAATAATGTTAACTTTGATTTATGTAAAATTGATAAAGAGCTCACACCTTAAGAAAAATGAGTTGTCTTATTCAAGAACATAATCTTCCCGCTTCAAAGCTTACTTCTAAGGTCCCTCAGTAAAGAACATATTTACATAGGCATTCATTGATATAAAATACTGGATTTTAGTCCAAATATCCTTAGCCTCTGGGCATTATGGATATTATTTCTTTCATTATGCTTCTTTCTATAAGGTATCTAACATTATCTTTTAAAATCTGTACATTAAAAATAAAACGACTGTATAAGAGTTAACTTTGCTAATGAAATCACTTTAAAATTCTAAGTGCTCTTTAAGAGGAACTATAGGTGAGTCCAAAACCAGCTAAAGAGTTGGGTTTCTTTTGCTGCTCATCAAGATGACCTGGGCCCTCCACCTCCAAGGCATCTATATCACTGGCACTGAGGAGTCTGTCAGGGAAGCCCTGGGGATCAGGACAGCCCACCCTGCACACCTCATTCTTTCCACTCCTCCCTTTGCCTCATTCCCCAAGCCTCCAACCCTGAATAGGGTGCTTCTCCCCACCCGCTCACCTCCTCCTGTGTCCCCCAGCCCTCAGCCCCCATTTCCCAACACCTGTTCTTGCAGGTTTCAGACGGGTACTTTCTCTTCAGCTGGAGGCTCGCTGCAGCTTCCACTCATTCCCCTGGACACAGCTTTATGCATCCTCCCAACATTCTCCTCTGGAGTCTGGAACCAGAGGTCAGTGAAGATACGGTTACTTTAGGAGCTCAGGGGCACCTGGCCCTTCTGGCTTTCCATAGCCACTATCTTTGTGGCCCATTACCAGCTTCAGTGACATCACAACTCACCCTCGCCCTTCCCCCTACTAAGCCCCCACCCAGTACAGCACCAGAAAGGCAGGCACACTGGCCCAAACCTCAGACAGGTACGCTCCAACCTCTCCAACAGTCTCCAACCTCTGAGGAGACTCGGAGCAGAGATGTTAGGCACCAGCATGCATGCACACCTCAACCAGCGACCACCCGCTGCCTTTCGGGGAGGTGAGAATCTGAGCCTGGCGAAAAACTGCCCCTGAGCCACATTCTAGAGGCACGGCATGCAGGGCCCTGTGGGTCAGCAGCCCTCCCTCAGAGCAGATCACTGAGCCTGGCCTGCTCCAGGGCCCACCTGACTTCACCACCCGCTTCTGTGGGTCCTTCTCAACCAGCGCCGAATGCTAGGGGCCCTGGCACTGGGCACTGTGCAGACACTAGGATGAGGCTTAGCACCGGTTCCTGCCCTCCTGCAGGTGATGGGCTGACCTCCTTAATGAGGTGTCCAGCAGCATCTGGCTAAGGGTCCATGCTCCCCATGGTGTGCAGGGTCGGGGTTACTGCTGATGCACACATGCCACCAAGTGTCTAAAGGTATCAGTGTTCCCCAAAAGATCAAATAAACTGACATTTAGGGTCAACGTGGAATTATTAAGGATAGTTTTAATAGAGACATAAAGTCAACCTAAGCAAGGTGGCTTCCCTTAATCTCATAAATCAATCACTAAGGCCACCCCGTGTAAGTCAGAGTTTGAATTCAATCTTTTTTCATGTTCTAGGCCACTGTTCCATTTTATCATCAATAAAGCAACTTCTGAGGAAAATATAACAATACATTCCACCCCTCTTTTGTAACAGTAATCATGTGTTGCAGGAATCACTCTTAATGTTCTCAACTGTGCATTTCAAATAATAAAGGCCCCATCGCCTTTGATTTTCTCGAAATACTGTGGCACACAATAAATATTTCATTCAAATTGGTGGGCCACATGATGGTATATTTAAAATCACTTTAAAATTACAGGTCTTACACATGTGTAATTCCATACACAACTTGGTGACCCGTTAGATTTATGCAATTTTACTGCATATACTTCCATCTTTTACATGTTTTCTTTGGGTCATTTGCCTTGTTAAAAATTACTTGCCAAGTTATAAGGAAAGTATTTCAGCTTAACTTCTCAACGTTAATAGGTGTCCATTCTTCCCATGTTAACATTACACATTTCCCCTGTTTATATCTGAATATTGGCAGTTCTCTCATGCCGTGTTCCAAAAATATGAGATCTTTTTTTGGAACTCAAAACAAATTTTTCCCATTAAAAAGTGAGAAAACAAAAAAACCAAAATGCACAATGGCCACCTGTGTTCCCACACCCATTCACAAAAGCTTGTTTAGCACACTCCATTATCACAGAACATAGCCAAACTGTGCTATGTTCTCTAGAAAAAAAACTATCTTTCTTATTCCAACTGAACATGCCTGAAACACATTTCTCTTCCCTCTCTTCTTCCACAACCTAAGTGGAGAGGCTCCCTGCATTCAGCCCTTCCCTCATTTCCAGCCCTGTGCTTCCTTTCTAGGAACAGAGAATGAAGTATAGTCCGGCAAGAGATAGTCCAGCTATAATAATCAGAGAGGAGACATTGCTCCAGGGACAGAAAAGAGACAAGAGAATCTATAGTGCCACAGTGGCTGTTCACAAGACCCCCCCCACCATGGGGGCAGGCCCTGAGGTGCACCCAGTATTCTAAGAGAGGCAGAAGCTATAGCTGGGAAGTAGGAGCTATAGGATGCTCCTTGGACAGGGTGTGTTCTCATGTAGAAGTCATCACTCATTCATTCACCAGTAAACACTGAGAATATACAGTCTCTTACTAATTACTATATTCAGAAAATAAAACAGGTACATAGAATTTGCAGTCAATGAGGGCAGAACATCACTCAAGTAACTGAAACATTTATTATTAAAAACAGATAAATCAGGAGGAAAGGAAAACAATTCTGTAAGAGGGTGTGTAAACCATCTCTCCTGGATTGAGAGATCTAGGCAAGGTTTGCTACGGATGTGATATTTAAGGTGAAAACTGAAAGATCAGGAAAAGAGGGGATGGGAGAAGAAAGGAGAACACTCTAGGCAGAGGGAACTGGGTGAAAAACACCTCTGGGAAAAAAGACAATATTTTCCAGGGAGAAGAAAGCACAGTCATGGTGAATAGGGCACAGCAAGTGGTAGAGGGTAAACAGAAACAGGCTGTATCATAAACTCATTCTTTACAAGTATTCACTGAGAAGCTACCACAAGCCAGGCACTCTGTGAGGCCCTTGGGATGGAGCAGTACATTAGACAGGCAGGACCATCCTCCCACAGCATTCATAGTGCACAGGAAGGACAGATTAAAAAGCAACCAAGCAAGATAATGTCAAATAATGATGTGCGCATGTGACTGCCACCAGTAAGCTGAATTTCTATGTGAGCAAAGTCCATGCACACAGATTATACCTACCCATGGAGACTTATTTAAATAGTTGTGACACACATCAAGATGCATGCAGGAATTGTTCCCAAAGCTAGATCACATATTTTTTTACAGGCAAGGCACACATGTGTCCATTTTTAGGATGTATATACTAAATAAATGCCAGATAAAAGGAGAATTTAGACCTGTCTATGTCTATATCCCTTAGAACACAAAATGCATTTGAAGTATTTGTTTCTCATTTGACAGGATGGAGAACTGTCACCTATATAGAAATGGGAGAAGAAAGGAGAACATTCTAGGCAGATGAACAGGGTGAAAAACACAATATACTTCAGCCAATGGAGAAGTAAGGGCTGGGAAACATGCCCTGAGATGTGTCATTCACCCCCACCAGCTAACATGCTTGTGTGTTGTCTCCCTACACACACACACACACACACACACACACACACACAGCTTCCTCTAATAAGGCTACTTATTAAGCTGCTAGTGCTCCCACGCCATGCTCTTTCATGCTTCCATGCCTTTGCTTATGCTGTCCACCCCACAGTAAAATCCTCCCATGCTGCCTCTGTAGTTCCTTGGGGTCCTCGCATCTACTTCATGCACCACACCCTGCAGGAAGCTATTGCTTGAGTTGCTTGCTCTTAGCTAGGTTAGTTATTTTTATGAACTCTTTCCTACCACAGCTCTTACCACATAATATTAAACTGCGTGTTCACATGCCTCCCACCATACTGAACTCCCTGGAGAGGAAGCTGCAGCACAGTGTATACAACATAAGAGAGGGGTGCAAAGTGGGTCTAACAAATAAGATGAATTCATCTGGAGTTAATTTTAGTGTAAGGTGTCAGGAAGGGGTCCAGTTTCTGCTTTCTGTACATGGCTAGCCAGTTTTCCCAACAGCATTTATTAAACAGGGAATCCTTTCCCCATTGCTTGTTTTTGTCAGGTTTGTCAAAGATCAGATGGTTGTAGATGTGTGATGTTGCCTTCGAGGCCTCTGTTGTGTTCCATTGGTCTATATCTCTGTTTTGGTACCAGTACCATGGTGTTTTGATTACTGCAGACTTGTAGTATAGTTTGAAGTCTATATAGGTAGAGTGATGCCTCCAGCTTTGTTCTTTTTGCTTAGAATTGACTTGGCTATGTGAGCTCTCTTTTGGTTCTATATGAAGTTTAAGGTGGTTTTTTCCAGTTCTGTGAAGAAAGTTAGTGGGTAGCTTGATGGGGATAGCATTGAATCTGTAAATTACTTTGGGCAGTATGGCCGTTTTCAATATATTGATTCTTCCTAACCATAAGCATGGAATGTTTCTCCATCTGTGTCCTCTCTTATTTCATTGAGCAGTGGTTTGTAGTTTTCCTTGAAGAGGTCCTTTACGTTCCTTGTTAGTTTTATTCCTAGGTATTTTACTCTCTTTGTAGCAATTGTGAATGGCAGTTCATTCTTGATTTGGCTCTCTTCAAGTCTGTTATTGTTGTATAGGAATGCTTGGGATTTTTGCACATTGATTTTGTATCCTGAGACTTTGCTGAAGTTGCTTATGAGTTTCAAGAGATTTTGGGCTGAGACAATGGGGTCGTGAACAGATCAAATCGGCAGCTCAGCAGCTCCCTCTGTGGCTTGTCAGGAATGACCACCAGAAGGGAATGTAGAAGCTGCCTAGCAAAATCTCCTACAGCATCCAAAACAAAATGTCTCCTCAGCATCTATTTACATGTCTCCAATGACAAAAGGAGTATTCCATAAATCATATTGTTAAATAGTCTCCCTGTAACTGAGGTCATCCTTCCTTGGGCCATATGTACCTTTTCATATTTCATTGGACAGTAGTCCATCTTAGCGCACCAAAGAACAAGCGTATCTACTTCCTTCCAACATCTGAAGAGTGACCATGCCTCCCCCTCAACATCTGCATCTCCTTCTTTCAAGGGCACCCTCTTTTGAAGGTCAGTGGTCCTTTTGATCCTTCATTCTTAAAATTAAACTCAGAAAAATGCAGATGCATAGAAAACATTTATATATTTGCTTAAATGAGCAAATATACAAAATCCTTAAAGCAACATTCAAGCTGTGCCTCAGTTTTTAGTATTGATTTTCCTCATTACATCTCCCCTTATAATGTTTTATTCTTCAGAATGAAGGTAGATTTACATTCCATAGAACTCACCTAATTTAAGTGTACAATTCAATGTGTTTTAGTGAATGTACACTGCAGTCCAGGCTTAGAATCCTCCCATCACCCCAAAAGTTCCTTCATCCCAACCACAGTTAGCCTTCTCTCCCATCCCTAGCCCCTGGGCAGCCACAGACCAACTTGCTGTCACTAGTTTTGCCATTTGTCAAAATTTCATATAAATGGGATCATATAAACTAGTCTCTTGTGTCTAGCTTCTTTCACTCAGCATGTGGATTTATGCATTTATCCATGTTGTGGCATGTGGCACATTCCTTGTCACTGTTCAATAGTATTCCACTGCGTGGATGTACCACAGTTCACTCACAGCTGACAAACATTTGGGTTGTTTCCAAGGGGCTATTATGAAAAATTCTGCCATAGGCATTCACAAACAAGTATCTGTGAGGATATGTTTCCATTTATTTTGGAGTAGAATACTAGGTTTAATGTTAAGTTTAACTTTTTAAGAAACTACAAACTGATCCCTCAGCGGCTGCCCCATTTGGTATTCTCATCAGCAGCATGTGAGTGTTCTACTTTCCCACAGCATCACCCACATGTGGTACTGCTGCTCTTTGTGGGTGTGAAGTGGTATCACTGTAGTTTCTATTTGCATTTTGCTAATCATTAATGGTGCTGAGTATATCTTTTCATATGCTTACTTTGCATTTATATATCCTTTTTGAAAAAAGGGATCTATTCAAGTCTTTTGCCCCTTTGCTTATTGGGTTGCTTATTTAGTTCTTTAAATATCCTGGGTACAATCCTTTATCAGATATGTATTTTGCAAGTATTTTATCATAGTCTGTGGCTTGTTTTTGCAGAAAAAAATAAGAAAAACTCAAGTCAAACAGTAAAATATATATGGCTATAAACTAAAATAGAAAATACATTGAAAAGAGATTAAAATATACACCTTTCAGCCGAGCATGGTGGCTCATGCCTGTAATTCCAGCACTTTGGGAGGCCGAGGTGGGAGATCACCTGAGGTCAGGAGTTCCAGACCAACTGGACCAACATGGTGAAACCACATCTCTACTAAAATACAAAGTTAGCCGGGCATGGTGGCAGGTGCCTGTAATCCCAGCTAGTTGGGAGGCTGAGGCAGGAGAATTGCTTGAACCTGGGAGGCGGAAGTTGCAGCGAGTCGTGATCACACTGTTGCACCCCAGCCTAGGCAACAGAGCAAGACCCCATCTCAAAAAATAAACAAAAAACACACTTTCCAAATTATCCACCTGCTATTTATTGCCAATACAAGCAATTCATCCATATGGCAATTCTTACCCACCCTAATCTGCTCCATCAATAGTCAAATTCCATCATGGATACTCTATTCTAAATATCAGCAGCACATAAACAAGTAGCATTTTTTCCCCGAATACTTACTGTAAAAGAGTAGTATTAATTTTATACAACCATATGTCTCTAGAGCAGCACCATCCAGTATCATTTTCTGCAATGACAGAAGTGTCTCTATTTACACTGTCCAATGTAGCTGCTAGCCACATGTGGCTAGTGTGCACCTGAAATGTGGCTGGTGTGTCTAAGAAAACAATTTTTTATTTTTTTTTGGAGACAGGGCCTCACTCCTGTTGCCCAGCTGGGTGTGCAGTGGCATGATGACAGCTCACTGCAGCCTCGACCTCTGGGATCTAGGGATCCTCCCACCCCACATTATTATTATTATTATTATTTATTTTTTTTTAGAGACGAGGTCTCACTGTTTTGCCCAGGCTGGTCTCAAACTCCTGGGGCTCAAGTGATACTCCCACCTTGGCCTCCGAAAGTGCTAGGATTACAGGTATCAGCCACTGTGCCCAGCCTGAATTTTAAATTTTAATTAACTTAAATTTATAGTCACACGTGGTTAGGAGCTATCATAATGAACAGTGTAGGTCTAAATATAAAGTTAACTTCATGGAGTGCAATTGCCTTTCAGAAAAAGAAATAATTTCCTATTGCTAAACAAGAATTTACTAGCCTTCCAACTGAAAATCATGATATTACTTTTGCTTTAGCCAGTAATACGTAAATCCCCCACTTTCAGTAATCTAATCTAAACCTGATTAACAACTTTTTCATCAGGTACTAATTGTACTATCACTTTGAAGCTGTTATCTGCACAAGATTTTAAAAACAGGGTAATAATGGTATAAAAATTGCTTCCTCTGAAACACCATCAATATATTCTTTCTTCTCTTGTACATATTAAAATCAAAATACCAAAAACTTGTGTTGGTTTACAGAAAAGTCAGTACAGGCAGTGTCAATGGAAAGTGAGAAGACGGCACATTACAACAGATGGGGTGACTAACAGTGCCAGTAAGAAAATCTGTAGGTATAATTCTTCATGCAAAACTCTCACATAGTGTTTCAGAATTCAGAAATATGGTGCATATGTCATGTATCACAGCTCAGATACTGCAGAATACTCCAGTAGGGTCTGCTGGTATACTCTGTCCCTGGGTTTTCTACCAAGTACATTTACCCATCTCTATTCCCAAATTTACATCTCTGGTCCAGCAACCTCGTTCCTACTACATGATTCCTTAGCTACCTGTAACCTATTGTAAGTCTCACAGATACCTTAAAGTCAGCCTTCACTTAATCAGCAAAAATTGAGTGTCTACTACATACCAAGCACTGTTTAGGGGCTATATATTTACCACCTTGAAATGCTCTATTCCCTGAGCAAGCTCCCTACTTTCGGGGTTCCCTACCTCAGAAAACAGTGCATCCATCGACCCTATTGTTCAAGCCAGAAACACAGGAGTCCTCCTTGACACCTTATTTCCCATCTGTACTTGCCTAGCAATCACTCAGTCCTTCTAAATCTCTCTCCAGTCTACGAACTTCACTCCATCTCTCCACTGCCATCACCTGCAGACTAAGCCAGCGGTTCTCAACAGGAGGCAATTTAGCTCCTCCAAAGGACAAACAAAAATAACCAGAAACATTAATGGTTGTCACAATTCAAAGGGTTCTGTTAGCATCTACTGGCTATAAGTTAGAAATGCAACTTAACGTCCTATGATGCACAGGTTCGTCCTAAATGTCAAAGAATGATCCATCCCAAAATATCAACAGTGCTGAGATTAAACACCTCTGCTTCAAGCAAAAAGAAGAATGATACATACCAATGATTTTATTTTTGTATTTATGGCAATTCTTCTTTAAAAAGTTATCACAATTCAGAATTATTTTAATGTAATAAAATTCGATTCTGATCCAATTCTATCAAAGTGAAATACATATTTCTATGTGAACAAAGTGAACACTTACTTGTATAGGTTCTCCACTCCTATTAGGATTATGATACAGTAGGAAATTCCACTTGGTACAAGAAAATGTAAGGCATGCCTATGAAAAGAAAGAACACTATTAGAAGAGAGATACCCAGTCAAACATCAAGTTGAGATGACTTAGGCTAAAAAATATGTGTAAGAGCTTTCACAAATAAAAAAAAATAAAACCTTCAAAGCCTAAAAGTCTGTGAACACCCAAAAAAGGGGTCCTATACCATAGACTCCAGAAGATCTGGGAAAAACAAAAAGCCCTAAAGCCATGCACAGCACTCCACAGCCCTGTCTTTTGGCTGCATGGAAGCTGTGTGGATTATGTGTCTCAAGGATTACACCTTTCTTCATAACTCAAGGCACAAAGATAAAAGCAAGCAGTGATTAGTATGAATTTTGGAATAGCCCCGACAGAACATCAGTTGTTCTCCCAAACTAATTTCTCCAATACCAGCCTTGCACTCTGCCTTTACCATTTTAACAACGACTCACAAAACAAAGTACTAAATATTAGAATTTACTACCAAAAAAAGTATACTCTATTCTCAACACGATGGCTTAAGTCAAATAAACTTGTTTTTATAAATCTAGTCATTCATTAATTTGCTATGATGTATCTACAAAACAGTCTGCCTAACAGAATATTTTCTAATATTTAAATATTCTAAAAATTCACCATTAAATGAGAGAACTAATTTCTCTACCCATTTCACAGAATTCAGGCAAAACCTGGTTAGGATGCCTCTGATTAAAATAGATCAGAACTATCCCTGAGATTGTGTGTGTGTGTGTGTGTGTGTGTGTGTGTATCTGCGCATGTGCATACAGACACACACACACATATGCACACATACACTCTCAACTTTCCCCTTTGGTGACATGAACAATGTACAATAAAATTTTCAAATCATTATGTACAATTTACAATATTATAAGAATGTTAACCTATGATTAAAATTATTTAATTTTTTTATTTTTCCCATTTATTTTATTGCATTTTAGGTTTTTGGGGTACATGTGAAGAACACGTAAGACTGTTGCATAGGTACACACGTGGCAGTGTGATTTTCTGCCTTCCTCCCCATCACCTACCTCTGGCATCTCTCCCCTTGCTATCTCTCCCCAGCTCCCCACCCCACAACGTCCCTCCCCTATTTCCCCCCACTGAATTATTTCTAAATTTAATCCTTATGGAATAACTGGCACCTTCGATGTGGAAAATTTAAACTTTTGAATACATTTTTCCATAGAAATATTATAAATCAGTAATAGGCTCCAAAGCAGGGCAGCAGAAGAAACTTATTTGATCTATTGTACAGAATAGGTCAGTCTGTCTGTCTTCCCCCCGACACACACATATGTACACACACACACTGAGAACGTAACATTGGCCTAGAGTACTATCAATCAGAGGGCTTTGAGGAAGTAGAAAAAGCTAAATGAGTATAAATGGAAACAAAAGACAGCTTAAAACACAGAATTAAAATACACTTTTCAAAACTATGATCCGCCTTCTATTTATTGTCAACACTATCAGTTCACCAACAGCCCTCATGTGAAAATGCTGACAAGGACTGCTAGAT